TTCAAAGTCTTGAAAGAATGCTGGCAAGAAACTGTCCATTCAAACTTCTGGCCATTTTTAGTCAAGGCAGCTATAGTTGCAAAGTCATTCACAAACTTCTGGTAATAGGTATAGAGTCCCAAGAAACTTCTTAACTCTCCCACATTGTCTGGTGTTGGCCAATCACGCACTGCTTTCACCTTGTCAGGATCAGTTCGCACACCATGTTTACTTACAATGTGACCCAAGTAAAGCACTTGTTTCTGGAACAAGTGGCATTTATTGGGATGGAGTTTGAGGTTTGCTGCTTTCAAACGCTTGAATACTTCCTCTAGCCGGGACATTTCCTCATCAAAAATTGTTGCAAGTACAATGACATCATCTAGGTACACTAGGGCTATTCTCCATTGTCCAATACTCTTTCCATCAGTCTCTCAAATGTTGCTGGAGCATTACTAAGCCCGAATGGCATCACTCGGTACACATTGCCAGAGACCTTGGCCATAACTAAATGCTGTCTTGGGTCTATCTGCTTCAGCCATTTTTAATTGATGGAAACCTGACTTTAAGTCTAGAGTTGAGAACCACCTGGCTCCACTTAGGGCATCAAGAGTATCATCAATTCTTGGCAGTGGTATGAGTATTTTCGGTTATATTGTTAAGAGCCCTGAAGTCCACACAGCAACGTTGGGTCCCATCCATCTTCTGGACTAACACGACGGGAGGTGACCAGGGACTATCTGATTTCTCGACTATCCCTTCCTTAATTAGACCATCCATGACCTTCTCTATCTCTTGTCGCTTTGCTGGAGCTATTCTTCTTGGAGGGATCTTTATTGGATGGTGATTGCCTGTGTTTATTCTGTGCTCTACAAGGTTTGTGCAGGTGAGGTCATGATCTCCTTTCGAAAAGACGTCTGCATAATTTGCCAAAAGTTCTTTTACCTGAAGAGCCTATGATGATACTAAATGGACTATGCTCTTCTTATAGAGGGCAGTTAGATGTTCTGGAAGTGTATGTCATTTCTTTATAGTTGTATTTCTTGCTTTAACATTGACTGGCTCAACCTCCTGGTACACACCCAACAATGCCCTTTCCTTAAGTGTCTGCTCACATTTAGAGAAATTGGCCACTATTATAGGTACTACTTGATGACCTGTCAAAAGTGACCTTCCAATCTTCAAATCCACTGGCCTGGACGGATCTTCCACTGCTTCCACAAACATTGGGCTTCCTTGGGGATGTTCTTTTATCCTACCCCAAATTAACTTCTCTGACATAGGAGGTATTGTAGTTGACTTAAGTGCTGTGACATGCAGATC